GCCCCACCACGCCCCCCACGCCCCCCACCTGGTGCGTCACAAGCAGCCTCGTCGCGCCCTTCATGACGGCCGCAGGGCCCCCTATGCAGCGTTCAAACAGCTGCGCCGCCACCTTGGGGTCGACAGCCGACAGGGGGTCGTCCAGCAGTTGGACGTCCGCGCGCGAGAACGCGCTGCGCGCGAGCGCAAGCCGCGCGGCCTGCGGGGATGCGAGGGCCGATTTTCAAATTTCGTTGGTTGCTGGAGTGACCGTGTGGAGCGAGCGTGCCTCGGCTCGACGCCGCGGCAGGGCGGCTGGGCCTCTGGAGGGCTCGGGCTGGGGCAGGGAGGGTGCGGCAGAGCGGACGCATACACAAGTTGTGCGCAGTGCAGCGGAGCTGGCGCGCCCTGCGCCGCACCTGGCCGCCCGAGAGGCTGCTGCCGCCGTCGCCCAGGGGTGTCAGGTCGCCTGCGCGTGGCCAGGCCGGGGGCAGCGAGGGGCGCCAAGGCTGGTCCTAATCTGTCAACCGTCGGGCGGCAGCGACGCAAGACAATCCGTGCGAGCATGCGAGCGACCGCTATATCACTCCTCCACCGCCTCTGCGCGTCACCGACCGCCGCCGCCTTCGACCCCCTGCTTCTGGCTTCGGGTGCGCCCGCTCTGGCCCCCCAGCCGCTAGTGCGGGCACGCCCCCAGTGGCCCCACCCACCCGCCGCCAGCGTCAGCAAGTCATTAGTCAGCGCGCACGCCTCCACAACCGAATTGTACAGGGCCGCCTCGAGCTTCCGCTCGGCATCCCTCGACCCGCTCCCGCTCCCGCTCCCGCCGCGCCCATGGTGGCCGTGGCGCCCGCCGGGGTCGCCGCCGGGCGCCGCCTGTAGGGTCGCGAGGACGCGCCGTTCGCGCCGCGCCGCGGCGCGGCCGTGCGCGCAGGGCGCGCCCTCGGGGGCGCCGAGGGTTATGTTTTCCCGGAGGGTGCCAAACGCGACCCATGGCTGCTGCGATACGAGCGCGGTGCGGCCCGCGACCACCACCTCGTCGTTTGAAAACAGGTCCCCCAGAACGGCAGGGTCTTTGCCGCCCCGCCTGTCGCCATCGCCGCCGCCCAGGGCGGGGGCGGCGCTGGCCGCCCGCCCCGCGC